TTTGAAATGAGTATTTCCTACATAAGTCTGTTGGTAATTTCTAATACTTTGTGAAAGGCTTTTAAATAAAAAATGAGAACATTTATGTTGAAGCTTTACTTAGTACTCAAGTTAAATGTTGATCACAGTAAAGCTCCAAATGGGAAAAAACCAATAAAAATGTAGTCTTTAAATTTATTTTGGTTAAAACGTGTAATGCTGTTCTACATGCCCGAGAGGGAGAAAGAGAGATGAGAATGTCTGGGGCTTTGTTGCTCTTGTGTTTTTTTTCCCCGTGTTTCTGAGCAAAATGTGAAAGGACTGGGGGAGGGGCAAGAGTAGAAATACAGTATCTCCGTAGGCAGAACTGGAGTAGTTTAATATGCTTAACTAAAATCCTAAAGTGCTTGATTGCTTTTAATGCATGACTCATTCTTTATGGTGTTCTGTTAGGAATGTATACAAAAGTGGAACTTTTCATCATACAAACTCAGGTTCAGCCACAATTGTCTTGGGCTCTTTCAAGTCAATGTGAGGGGCCAATAAACCTCAGATGTGCCTCTCTTTTACTTCAGTGAAGGCACATGGGTCAAGTAGGTTCTTAACTTAGGCCTCTCAGTTTCATGTCTGAATTTAGATGGGAGGAATCTGAGCTATAATGTATCTGTGTCTTGTGTGTTTTGTGCTTTTCTGGGGTATGGTGCAATGGGAAGAATGCCAACTATTGAAAAGCATTGGAAAAACTGGAAAGAATGCTGCAGCACAGATACACGCACTTAAAACAAGATTCTCATCAGAACAAAAATGACGGGTTTAAGCACTTTTGAATGGATTTCAATCCATTCTAAAATAAAGAAATGTTAATTAGTACTGTACAGACATTGGTGTCCAGTTCAGTCTAATTCTCCTACAGGCACCTGTGAGTTACATGTATGAGCTGTTACTTCATCAACTGGAGTCCACTGCTGCTGTCTCTGTGGGTATACTAAGTTTAAGCCTGCTTGTCCAGGCCAGATACCATAGTAAAGAGGTTTGCTTTAACAGTACTGGGATAAATTGTCATCATGTTTAAGGAAAATAAGGGTGTGAAATTTTAGTAGGTGCTAAAGTAGGACCAGGTTTCCCCCCAACAAATACCTTTTTTTTGTACCAGTGACTTAAATGGAGCAAGGATGAAAGCATGGTAAAACGCTGCAGTGATTAGATGCTGAGAGAAGTAATTCAGAGGATAATCTAAAAATATTGGATTAATGTCTTAGGAGGGAGATACATTTAAATGTTTGTGTTATACCTGACTAGAAGTAAGGCTCTGCCTAAGTAACCAGGGAAACAGCTGAAGAAATTGCACAGTTTGGCAGGAATGGAGACCCAGTAATAGTGTGTTGACTCAGAGCAATGGAGACTCTTGGAGTCAGGTTTAACTGCCATGGTGAAGGGGTTGCAGAATATGGGTTTAACTTTCTGAGATAACTGGGTGCCTTACGTAGTCTGCTTACATTTGAAGATAATTATTAACTACTCCCTTTGCAATGCTATTCTTGAATCAAAGGGGACTTTGGTTGGGAAACTGAGGTAAATTCCATGAAATGTGCGTGCAAATTGATTGAAGTAGAAGGACTCTTGGTTTCAAAAACTGCTATTTTGTCTGAATGTCAATAGCAATTGTTCAGAAAACATCTGCATTTTAATTAAGTAGTAGTATGGGGTGCTACAAAATAATATTGCATATTATTTCTTAATAGTGCATATGAATGTATTGTTTGCACCATATGTAGTTGCAGTTTCAAAGCTAAGATCTCATCCATTTAGCATGCTGCCAGACCTTGCAGACAAAGTATGCAATGTACCTAATTGATATCTTAATGGCTGGCAACTGATTGGAGTAAATGAGGAGGATGATGGTCACCCCTACCCAGGGTTCCCCCAGAAGGGACTGGCATCACAGGAGGACAACAGAGCTTTTACATGGGGGCTTTGAATTCACAGTGACCTGTTGTACCTACTGTGTTTTCGGAGACCTTTCCTTCTTCCCAGCCTAGAGAACGTGCTAAAGCTGTAACGTGTCTGTGCCTGTTTTCATACAGCAGTAAGGAACTACCATGTTCATCAGATGCAAAGTTCTGTGTGCTTTGCTGTGTCCCCATTAGAATGATATTTTGATAACATTTTTTCAGCTGAGAAGCAGGTCTTCATCTGAGTTTGTCTATGTTGTGCCTTAATAATTGGTGTCAAAGAGCAACAAGAGCAGGGCTCCTGCACAAGAGGGGCCAAAGCAGGAGCTGAGGGCAGCCCCAGCACAGAGTCATCAGCCAGGGCACGGTCTGGACATCAGAACTGGGCACTGGTAGCAGGCCCTACCAGCTGTCCCTGACCTGAAAAGCAATGAACCTGGTCCCTCCAGGGAGTCCAGGCAGCAGTGAAACAATCCAGAGCCAAGGCTCTAAGCAGGTCTGGAACACAGGCTGCAGGTAGGCATGTTGATGGCATAGTTTAAGCAGGGACTGAAGGCCTTGGGATGAATTTACATGCAGCTCTTGGGCCCACGGGTAGAGGTCCCAGTTGAAGTGGGTCAGGGCCAGTGAGGTCTACCAGTGCCTTCAGATCCTGACAAATGGATACAGATTCTGCCCTTCTGTGGGTAACTCAGCAACTTGGATGTTGCAGTCTGGTTTAAAATGATACAGAAAAACCCAAACCCACAAGCAGTATTGGTTTTAGCATGCAAAATTGAGATCCAGGAGCAGTTGTTTAGGCCTGTAAATGTCAAATGGACATTTCATTATTGGTGTTTGTTGTTTGTTTTTTTTTTCTTGGTACGTTAGCCTTGTTCTTATGCTGATTGAAGGCATTAGTTTATTTTTGCATGTTTTGAAATAATAAAAACCACTTGTGTCTTCAGTGTCATTGCATTGATCCAAGTGGACATTAGTTCTTAAAAGAATAAATTAGGATTTGGGTTCCCCCCCCTTTTTTTCTGAAATTCATTTTCCTTTCTGTGGGCAATCTTGGTCAAGTAAATTTTGTGAATGTCTCTACAAACTGCTTCTCATTATGAAAGTATATAAAAAACATATATAGTGATTATGTCTCAGCCCTCCCGTATTTTTTCCCCAACTTCTTTGCTGTCTTGGGTCCGTGAGCTGTTGGCTTAAAAACTAAGTTCATGTTACTGCTCTTAAAATCAGGATGATGAGTTGGTCAGAAAACTAATTAATAAAAGTAGGATTAAGGTCATAAGTGTGCATCTCTAACAGCATGTTTGGATATAATTATTTCTTGTTATCTTCAGGATTTTCCTTTCCTTAAGGAAAAGCAATAAATCAAAAATGTATTCCTAGAGTCATTTGCTGACTACTGAAGCATAGGTCCAGCTGCAAGGTTCACCTTGCACAGGAGCAGGGGAAAATCTACTGGAAGTTTCTGGGATTTTTGTCTCCTTCAGAGATTTCCCTTTGTCAGCCCCACTTCTTGAGGTAAAAAGGAGTTCTGGACAGGAAGACTTCAGGCTTTGCTGAATAGCTTTAAGAAGTAAAATATTTATGTAATGTATGTGCGTAAAGGTAATTGAAAGAAACCCCCCTGCTCCTAGAGAAGACACTGAAGTGGTGTGAAATGTTTCTTTAATGAAAACCCCCATGGACGTGCTGTTTAGGTGCTTGTGTGTGCACACTTTGCACCCTTCATTGAATGTCACATTTCAGACAGTTGCAGAGGCAGATGCAGCTTAGAAGTACATACTGTGAACTACATTATTTACAAGCAAGCATGTGCTTTTAGTACAGCTGTACCTGCTTGACAAGGAGGATGTGTGCACTGAACCCACTGGGTTTGGCAGCTATAGAAAGAGTTGAGCAGTTTGATTTAAGTCCATCACCCTTTCTCTGACAAATGTTGCAAAGGGAGAACTGAGGAAACTGTCTGTATGTTTGTTAAAATAAAACAAAATTACTATATTTAAGCTGGTAAGAAGATGTGCTTTGCATCTATGCACTTTGCATAATATTTGAAGATGTCTGGTTTAGCTGGAAATCCTCTTGTTTGTGGAAAAAGTAATCTTAATAAGTGGCAGAGCATGTACTCAATCTTTCATAGGCAATTCCTGGGAGATCTGATACTAAATAATGTGAGATAGGGTTGGTTTTTTTGACTGTTTGTTTTAAAATGGATAACATTTTTATATCAAGCAACCTTTCATGGCATTTACTTTCTTTATGTCTGTAAAACTGTCACCTTTACATGTAATGCAGAGAATATCTGTGTGTATCGTGGGTCATGTCCATAGTCTGTAGTGATGCTTTTTCTCAAGCTGATCAGGAGCTAGAACAGAGTTACACTAGAAACACTTGAACGTGATGCTTGTAGGATAAATGCAGTGCATTTCTTGGCTCTCCAAAAAGTATTACATTTACTTGGAGAGATGTACATCTCCCCTACTTGGCCTTGGCATGTACCAGGTAGACTTGGAAAAGCTTGTCCTTTGTGCTTGGAGGTGTGGGATATTTTTTTGCTGCCTGCATGCCCTCTGGAGTAGATCCAGAACATTTTTGTTTTATTATTATTTTATTCTTACATTATGTCACTTTTTGACAGTCCGTGTTTTCAGGTGTTCTTTCTTGTAGTTAAACTGGGTTTCAGGGGGTACTTTTAAGATAAATACTGAGTTGTTCTGCTGAAAATACAGTGATACTGATACTTTTTGCCTTTATGCATTTGTTATTAAGATCATATGTAATTTGATATTTGCATATTGTTTGGATTTTTTGGTGATTAGCTCCGTGGCCTAAGAGATATGCACTTCTAAAAACAGGAAACTGTCAAAATTTTTATTTTGGGTACAATACTATGAATGGCTTTTATGAACTGCATATGATACCCTAAATGGCTGTTATAAACAGCATATTTTTTCCTTTACATAAACTGGAAAATATTATAATTTGTATGTAACGGTCAGTCTTAGTGGTATTTGAGCCTTTTCTTCTAGGTAGTTAGTTTTTTTCTTACTTCTTTCAGAAGATGATGTTCTATTTGTTTTTAAATTTCAGAAATCAACTTACAGCATTTCCATGTCTGACTACTGGTATTGGAGGTTGATCCCGTGCAAAGAAACTGGAAGCTGCAACTGCTTTGCAACAACCAACCAGTCTAATGAAGAGAAAGAAGAAGATACAACCCATCAGGTTGTGGTGTCAGATATCATGCAGCTTGTTCGAGATAGGCAGGAGAGGCCAGAGAGCACTGCAGGTGAGAAAAATATAGTGTACTTTGAAAATTGTCCAACTGGCTGCCAAAGTGTGTTAAGAAGAGGACTGATGGCTTTAATAATTTTAGCAGTGGTCTATCATCACTAGCAGTGAGAGCAGGGCAGGGAACCCAAACAGAGGAATAGCCTAGTATTCACTTGGAGGAGGGTGATGTTACCCCAAACCCAAACATTTAATAGCAGCCAGTGAAGACCTTTACTCAGGAGGACTGGTTCTTTTTCTAAGAAATTAAAATAATTCCAAAAATTAATTGATTAGCAAAAAATAGTCATCCCAGAGAAACCTGACCTACCTTTCTACAGTTTTAAAATCATAATCTTTGAGAAGCTGCTGAGAAACAAGTAAAAAATACCTCTGCACCTTCATCATGCTGCTTTTGTTACCGTGATCCATAAGCAGAAAACTGTAGTGAGTGCTAGTTTATAGTTACAGGGTTTAAGAATGCATTTTATTCCTGTACCATGTGATCTTATATTTACCCATGCAGGTGGCTGTTGCATTCATATGTGAAAGTGCAGATGGACTGTAAGTCTAGGATTTTATTAGCAGTTGCATCTGATAGCAACTGGTCTTTATTAGCACACTTCTTTATGTTAAATAGTTTTTTAGAAGCCTCCAAGGTAACTAAAAAATATCTACACATAGTAATGCAAACCTCTCTAAGCTGGAAAGATGACTAAAACCGGAAGGGTAAAATTCACCAAAATACAGCTTTGCATTTAATATTCAATTACAAGGCAGGATATGACTTCTTTGTAATAGAAGAAAAGCTGGAATGAGCTAATGATGTTGGTGCTACTACAGCATGATTCATATTCTGCTGTGGCTTAACAGGAAGTAGTTACTACAGAAATCATTTTATTTGTCTACTAATGAGGTCTCTGCCAGAATATGAAATTTCTTTTGAGGACAGCAGGAAAGATACAAAAAAACCCTGAAGAAATTCCAGAGGAGGATGTCAGGATTGGTCAGAGGCTTACAAAATATTATTTCTGTAGAAATAAAGAAGGTATATCTAGACTACAAGAAGAAAGGGAAGGGAAAGCACACAAATTCTGACCCTGTAGTGGAGATCTTTGTACATTATCGAGGAAGGTGGACATCTGCTTGGTGTAATGTTCGTGTTGTCCATATCTAATAGAATAAGAACAAGAAAATGCAAACGACTTCTACACAGCAGATTTAGACCTAATTGTGGGGACAGTCAGACTACTTAAAGGGCATGTGTAGTCTCCAGCCTATTCTTGATAAAACTTGGAGTGGAACAAACTACTGATGAAGGTGAGGTAGGTGTAAGTGGTTCTGTCTTAGTGCTTTGAGCTAGGCTAAGAGATTTCCTGAAGTTTTTTTTGTATGTTGCTTATATGATGGGAAAAGAAACAAAAAAGTCTTGCAAAGGCATGCCTGCAGTATGAAGTCAAAGGAAAGGTAGTTCTGTCTTGTGTCATCTGCAGGATTTCAAATGGAAAATTACTACTCTTCCTTTCCAGAAATTCAGGAAGAGCTGTGTTAGGTTCAGAGTCAGGTGTGTGTGTGTATTTTCTGTTGATGTAACAGTGAATCAATGGTTGACTGACTGATCTACAGAGGAAGCTTAGTAAGCTGCAGAGATCACGAGGACTGCAGTGAAGACAGACCAGGAACTGAGCATATATACATACTTCATCGGCATGTGACTGCATATAATAACCTGCACATACTTGGCTATGCTAATTTCACCTTTTAGTCGTGGCTGCTCTCCTTCTGTCACTGAAGTCCATGTGAAAGAAACATAAGGTTTAGTGAAAGAAGTCCTGGACTGAGTTTCCTGACGCAAGATGTAGCAAATTTTTCATTGAGGATTACACTCATGTCTGGCTTGACAGCTGAAATGCAAGCCAATTAATCAAAATTGAAAAGCACCTGATAATACTCTCTATACCTGGAAGAAGTGGGATATAGTTTTCAAAAAACTGTATGTTTTCTTTTGCCTTGGAGAACAGCATGGAGACAGGCAAAGAGCTTTTCCAGAGCTAGATATGAGAAATGTGAGTTGCAGAGAATTTTCTGGCAAAGTTATTAAACTTTAAAACTAAATGCAGTGTGGAAGCTCTTTCTGTGTTGTAACTAATACTGTTGCTAGTATTGGGGATTGAACACATCAGTATATTTGTGGCCATTTTACTGGCCTTTGATTTTTAACAAATTATTGCTCTTAATTGATGCAATCTGCATGTTAATATTCTGACTTTATCAAGGGACTGCTAAAAATAATGCTCTGGAAAGAACTACAGCAGCATAACATGATGAATATTTAAAATGGGTAATTTTTGTATATTGTGGGATGAGCAGTTTTATTCTCTAGTTCAAGTATTTATTTCAGGAAAAGAAACAAGTATTTTTGTGGCTGGCAAAGAAAGCCATAGTGCCTTGCTACGTGAAGCTAGGCCTTACGGTCTTCTGGTGGAAATAGGGAGAGAGTGGAATACTGCTGTGCAATGTTGTTGGAGTCTTTTACCTTCTCTATTTTTGGCTTCTGTAAGCTAGTGTGAGAGGTCTTAGTCTCTCATGCAGAGTAATAACACGATAGGATGGTGAGCATCTTGCTGCTCTTCTTAGTTAAACTATATGTTGCTGTTGCTGAATTGTTAATGCCTCTGTTCCTTCCCCAGGAACTCATCTGTTATCCTATTGATACAATATCAATAGCAATATTTTTACTGCAGTGTTTTCCTAGAAGTTCTAATTAAGATCATGTCTTGGCTGTGTCTGTGAGTTCACACACTTTTGCTTGAGACCCTGTTGCAACTCAGAAGGTTTAAAAGCCTAGCTTGAAAGCACCAGATGAAGAAGCATGCAAAATTCAGCTTGGGGCAGAGCTCAACAGAGACGGCAGCATGAGAGCATCCAACAAACCTGTGTGTGCTATTGCCTCATTTCAGGTTGTGTCTGTAATACATCCTTCCCCCTCTTCTGAAGAGGCTGAAAAATAGAAGGATTGTGGAAAAAGGATGGAGGTGTGGAAGACAGTAATGAGTCTTTAAAACTAAATAAATATAGAAGTATGAATCCAGTATTTCTATAATTTCTCAGTGCTTGTTATGATGTTCCACCTGGTTGGAGCTGGACTTCGGGAGTGCTGTGCCTGGTAACAACAAGGCAATTTTCATTTGAATGGGGCTTTTCTGCTCTGGAGATGGACCTCTTTGGTTCACACCTTTTCTTTATCTTTTTCTTTGTTCTGTTCAAAACTGTTGTGACTATAATCCCTTCACACAGGGTTTTTGAGCTTCCTGTCGTGACTCTAAAGCAATAGGAAAGCAGAGAAAACCTTTTAGGGTATCAAGATTTGCTAGTGTAATGTCTTGGCAACTCTAATTGCCTGTTAAGGCAAACAGCCATGAGGGTGCTACAATCAAAGGTTTTACAGAAGTAAGGGGATTATCATGATTGCCCATGTTTTGAGGAATCAAGGACACAGGCAACTGCTGACTGAAATCTGAAGTCCTCCTGGTCCAAACTTACCTGAGAAGATGTAGTTCATGACTAGCAAAATTTTTAAACTATTTTAAATTATAATATGAGTATCTTTTTACCATTTTTGCATTATTTTTTTGGTTTTTGCTTGAGAAATTACAAGGCAGCTGAAAAGACAGCTGAGTGACTATGTAATGAGCCAATTCTAACATTTCTAACAGTGCTACAAGACACACCATCAGCTGTTGCAGTCACAGGCACTCAAAGTTCTCATCTGTTATATTCACAGGCTCTTGGAAGGAAACATGCTTGATATCAGTTCAGTATATTAAATTGCAGTGTTTTCCACACGTAAACACCTTTTAGGCACTACTTTACAGTATTACTGAAGCTGACAGCTTTGACTGAATTATATACCTGCTATAACAACACTGGAACAGCGTGGTCAGGTTATGTTATTAAGACCACGGATGGCACATCGTCTGCATCAGATGGGGAAAAAAACGGACAACATGCTGTCTCTTGGGCACTTGTGTATCCTGGTAACTCTGAACTGAGAGTGTAACTTCAGTTTTACTCAGTAGCCCCTCATTTCCACCAGACACAACGGTATAAATACAAAATTTCAGTAGTAATGTACAAGGGAAGCATTTTGTAGGTGTTCATTGTTGTGATAATTATACTTTCTCAAGTTAAGTGACTTTTCAGAAAAACAGTAACTAATGCTGCTTGGGTCAAGTCTATTCTGTTCCTTGATAGCTACAAATAAAACATTTTAATTTTAACTAAAAAGTAGAAAACTTAGAGTGATCTTCTAGAAGATGCTCCTTTTTTTTTGGTACCTAGGAGTGTCAGAATTATTACAGTGTATGTTTGGGAGAAGTCCTCTGTTTATGCAATATCTTTGGAAGGTTCCTGGATTCTTGGAGCTGTTTTATGTTCTCTGAGAAGCTTTAGCATTCACACACAATATCTCACTAAAATTAAAATAATTACTTGGAAAGTTGTGCATGTTGCAGCATACCTTAAATAACAAGCTGTTAAAAGGTTTTTCCAAGGGTTTGCTTATGAACTAGGCTAATACAGCTGCCAGGTATTTGCAGAAAATGAGGCTATAAATATTATACCAAGTATTTTTAATGAGTGCATCCTCAAAAAAAAATAATAAAATTAAAATGTCAAGACCAAAATTTGTAAGGCAGTTGGAGATTTCTTCTGTGTTAGAATTCCATATGCAGCTGCAACAAGGCCACTTTTTTCATAGGAGTGACAACAGCATGCTGTCATCTGATTAACATTGGTACATATTCTGTGGAATGAAGATGGCATTGTAGACTTCTCAGCTTGTCCATACGGGTGCTAAATGGCCCATGACCTTTTTTGCCTTTAAAAACAAGCCAACTAGGGCAGGATTCCCTAAACTATAATACACAAGCCACTAAGTGGCACACAGGGCAGCACAGAGATGGGACCTGTTGTTGTCCCTGGTGGCATCTGTCGTAATTCTCAAAGAAAGGGAACTCA